TATACATCTTCCATACACACAGTGCTAGAAGCTTATTAGATAATATACATCTTCGATACACACAGCGCTAGATGCTTATTAGATAATATACATCTTCCATACACACAGTGCTGGACGCTTAGTAGATAATATACATCTTCCATACACACAGTGCTAGACGCTTATTAGATAATATACATCTTCCATACACACAGTGCTAGACGCTTATTAGATAATATACATCTTCCATACACAGTGCTAGACGCTTATTAGATAATATACATCTTCCATACACAGTGCTAGTCGCTTATTAGATAATATACATCTTCAATAGACACAGTGTTAGACGCTTATTGGATAATATACATCTTCCATACACAGTGCTAGACGCTTATTAGATAATATACATCTTCCATACACACAGTGCTAGATGCTTATTAGATAATATACATCTTTCATTGACACAGTGCTAGATGCTTATTAGATGATATACATCTTCCATACACACAGTGCTAGACGCTTATTAGGTAATATACATCTTCCATACACAGCGTTAGACGCTTGTTAGATAATATACATCTTCCATAGCCACAGTGCTAGACGCTTATTAGATAATATACATCTTTCATAGACACAGTGCAGGACGCTTATTAGATAATATACATCTTTCATAGACACAGTGTACGACGCTTATTAGATAACATACATTTTCCACACACACAGCGCTAGACTCTTATTAGATAATATACATCTTCCATACACACAGTGCTAGACGCTTATTAGATAATATACATTTTTCATAGACACAGTGCACGACGATTTTTAGATAACATACATTTTCCATACACAAAGAGGTAGACACTTATTAGATAATATACATCTTCCATACACACAGCACTAGTCGCTTAATAGATAATATACATCTTCCATCGACACAGTGCTAGTTGCTTAATAGATAATATACATCTTCCATACACACAGTGCTAGTCGCTTATTAGATAATTATACATCTTCCATTAACACAGTGCTAGACGCTTATTAGATAATATACATCTTCCATACACACAGTGCTAGTCGCTTAATAGATAATATACATCTTCCATAGACACAGCGCTAGTCGCTTATTAGATAATATACATCTTCCATACACACAGTGCTAGTCGCTTAATAGATAATATACATCTTCCATACACACAGCGGTAGACGCTTTTACAACTTCCACGAACACAGCGGTGAACCATGTGAACGCTTATTGGATAATATACATCTTTCTATCATTATGTCACAACGTGAAGGATGCCCGCAGTGAAGTTGGGTGGCGCACAGAGACAGGGACAAGAAAATATCCGCGAGTGTTGTGGACACGGCACACCACGGAGTACATACAGTATTGTACATTAAGTACATTGACACAACGTGGCCACGCATAAACACCCGTCCACCAGGACCAGTTTTAGGTAGCGGCCGACCCAGTATAGGTAAACGGGCGACCCAGTATAGGTAAACGGGCGACCCAGTATAGGTAAACGGGTTTCCTTGTGCTACTCTTTACTTCAAACAACGTATGCTCAAAGCTCATCAAATTACCCCCGAAGAGGTCAGTTATTTTATTAGTGACGAATAGATCCGTATGTCGTAAGTTTTGAGAACACACATGTGAATTGAGAGCTTGATTTGAGAGGGAGTGAAAGGCTATATTCGTTAACTAGGTCACACAGCTTAACGTGACGTGAATACACTGATACGTCAGTGGCAGTATTATGAGGTTAATAAATTCTCCGTCTGATGGGTAGTCAGTGAAATGATTTAAAGGGGTGTTACATGACAATGTTTGGATTTGTTTGTTAATTTACCTCAGCTCTCACCAATATTTCAGCTGTATGATATCGGTCTGTGAATAATCGAGTCTGGACCAGACAATGCAGTGATTGATATCATGAGCATCGATCCACGCAATTGGGATCGATTACATGCATCAACCAAGTGAGTGAGCCTGACCACCCGATCCCATTAGTCGCGTCTTACGATAAGCAGTCGCCTTTTACGGCAAGTATGGGGTGCTGAAGACCTATTCTACCCCGGATCTTCACGGGTGACTATCTTTGGATGACTGTTTTACACTGAATCTTCCATTCAGCTGTTTCTCCGTTCATTTATTCATTTGCCATGTGCCATTCTCACGATCTCGACCTTTGGGAACGAGCTAAATATGCCCAAAACACGAGAATGCGAGATCGCGAGAACGCGAGATTCCCAAACAGGGAAGAAGTTTCACCTATAACAGGATCTGAACTCGAGGAAGCATCTCACTTTATGTTTAACACTCCACATATGTACACATCCTGAACATCAAGCAGAAACAATAGCTGCACATCATTTTCAGTCTGGAGGTGACGTCACGCCTTCCTATGACGAGTGTCATATTATGTTTGAGAATAATCATGATTTACAGCAGCATGTATGAATGTGGTTATTTTACATCCTACAACTTCTAAAGTGTGTGAAGCTGATAAGGAAAGAGAACTGAAAGAATTTGAGTATTTTGGGAGCAAACATTGAAAGTTTGCAAAAATGATACCCTGGTGAAAAAGGGAAAGTATAAAGAACAAGGGCGTTCTGAAAGATTGATTGAAAAGAAACTGCAGTAAGATGGGAGGAGACGTTCTTGGACCGACTTGCTACACCCGGGCGCTATTTTGGTAATGGACCTCTTTTCAAACCTATTCTGGATAAAGTGAGAGTCATGGACCCAGATACCGACCCTAAGGAGATCTCTTCTAAGATGAAGACATGGATGAAGCCTCTTGTGAAAGATATACTTTCTTATGTCGACTTCTCTGAGACAGATGATCACGCCAGCATTGACAGTGAAGAAAGTGACCAAGAGACACACACAGACTGATAACCTTTGTATTGTAACATCTCCTGTTAGGTGCTGTCGGGGCTTCCCCTCGACCCTTGACTAGTATTATGTGACTATCATGGTCGAGGTAAAAAATGGATAATCGTTACCTTGTCTTTTGTAAAGATAAAAGAAAACCAAACACACTGATGACAGTCAATATGTTTATTCAATAGTTAACTTTAATATGTCAGACTACAGCTTTCAAAAACGAGGTAACATTATAACAATGTAATATGAACATATTTGCAATTATGCATAAAATACATCTGATGACACATAATATGCTAACATGACTTTCTCCAGCAGTTGTAATAGCCTCACAAGTCTACTCAGGTTACAACAGAATCATGTACATACAGCACAGCTGTAAATGTGGTGTTACAACAAACATGTGGATGTGCAAACAATAAAGCACTGATCTCTTAATGGGAACACTTGAGGTATGAAATGGTTTTAAGCATTGTTAACATCAGGATTTATGATGCGATAGTGACAATAGGGCAGTGTTTGAGGGATAAAACGTTTATCGTCAAAAGGACTCAAGCTAACTTTATTTATGCTAACAACAAACAGTTGGTGACCAAAGGTGCGAATTTGTTTCATTTCATAACAGTACTGTACATGAACGAACAACCATTCTTTGTATAATGCGTGTCTCAACTGCTTCTAAATAAGCTGTTTGATTTTCTTTTCCTTCATACAGCAATGAGTACATCTTAGGTCCAAGACCAATAAACTCTTTCACCACACAACCCCCGAGTTCATCTTTCAATATGCCTTCCACCTTTGTATTCGTTTTGGAGCAGAGTGAGTAAGTGGGGTGGTAATTGCTGGCGTTAAAAAGCTCTTTCATGCCAACATACAGTTCCGGCGTTTCAATCTCGTAGCACAATGAATGAGTGTCTACGAAAATACTTTGGTTTTATAAAGTTATAATGAATGTCATACATAAGAACTTTCGATAGATCTAGTATAGTGAACCCTGCATACACAGGTTGGTTAAGGTAGAGAGTGGCCTTTCTCAAATGGACATGTGCCAGATCAGAATAAAAGATTTTACATTCCTCGAAGGTGGCAATGGCACATAGGTTTCTGAACCGTTTAGGTTAACCTCATTGAACGTCCAAAACAAGAGTTATTAAAAAGTTTGAAAAGCGTCTTTTTTGGCCTGCTTTCTCCTTTCTGTATTAAACTCAATCACATGTTTCAACCAGGAAGACTGTTTCAAGTGGATTTGTAAATTTCTGTAATGCAAACATACTTTGGAACCACTTTTCTGACTGGTCGACCTTTAATACACAGTTTTCTTCAATTGCTTAGTATAAGGAGATAACATATCATCAATAATCACCATAGTTTCAGGAAAGTCATTGTGACTGGTATGTTCGGTATCAGGGTGCTCCATCTCCACTCCTAATGTGTAACACGTATACGCATCATTTGGAATGTTCTTAAAGTCTAAAGTGTCAAGCTCCTTGTATCTGACCCAGTGAAAGTCACGCTCGGGTAATGATTGAGGCACAGCCCATCCATATATATTGTTACCATCCCAATACATCAAACAGCAGTTTTGGTCATATGGGTTGTATTCATATTCATAAGGATGGTTTGCTTGGCATGCTTCATTGAAATCATGCTTACCCACCCAAATCTAGACCAGTCAGTAATTCCAGCTCAACGTTTCCCATTTTCAACATGGCATCCCCGCTAAGGCTAAGGCCAGGTAAAGATAAATAATATTTATATTGCTTTGGGTCAAGATGATAATATTCCATTGAAGTATTCCTAAACGTCTCAATACCATCTGCCAAAAGAAGAACATCAGACTTCAAGTTTTGATCATGGTATTATCCAATAATTTTGCGGTTGAATGTCGTCCAAATAGTCTGTGCATGCTCATAGTCAGATACCAACACATCTGTTACCACATTGTAAAATAATTCTTTAGATGGGAACTGTCTTTAATCAAATTTAGATTCATTGTCCATATCATCATATGGATATAACAGGGTATTCGCAGGACGACGACCCCTAGAATTTTTCCATTCGCAGGACGACAACCCGCCGGTACGCCTTTGATGTGTGGTGTTGTTTTAGGAGGGGATTAACTCCTTGGTTAGTGTTAAAAATAAATCTCCGAAACATGGTAGTCTGTCATCATTCTCGATATGGCAAACGCGCAGTTACAGTACACGTTTCTTCCAACTACACGCGGCAGTAGATACCTTTGTACTGGTGGCTACTGTGTGGAGAAAGGCTCAACAGGTCGGTCTCCAGTCAGCCTATGGTGACAACCCAGAGGTCAAAACCTTTGTTAAAAGATGCGCTGCTCTTCCCATGGTTCCAGTGGAAGAGGTAAATAACATCACATCTCACTGAAAAATGTTTAAACATTTAAAAGATATATTTTAAAATATAATTATATGTAAATTGCTATATGGTTATCCTCAACATGCTATCGTATATAGCATTGAGAGTAAATAAGTTATGTTTCTTATGACAATATATATTATTATTACAATCCAATTATGATAATAATATATATCTACAATATCCTTTCTGTAATTACAGGTTGATGATGTATGGCTCCAGACAATTGCTGACATGCCGAACGACCAACGGTGTGTCCAGCTCGAGGACGTCACCACAACCTCGGTTGAGACAGAGAAGGAGCCTTTGAACCATTTCAACAACGACGGCCCTCGCACCAATAACCACCTGGAGGGATGGCATGGACGCTTAAAGAAAGTCATCGGCAAAGCCCATCCCAACATCTTTGAGCTGATAAGCTTTCTAGGTGCTGAACAGCAGAAGACAGAGTGTAATCTGCTACAGTACCATGCCGGCCAGCGTCTCCCACCAGAAAAGAAGAAGTTCTGTGATATACAATGCAGAATCGATCAACTGAAGACCAGACCGATCCAGAATGAAGTCAGCGTAATTTTCTTCTCATCTTCTCAAACTGTCTTAATTGCCCATGACTTTTGTGAATCTTTATATGTACGTCATCTTGTACATATACATTCAAATTATTTGTAAATAAATCAATATTCCACCCTTATTGTCTTTCTTTCGTTCGTTTCAAATCCAGTTCCACTTTTTTACTTGCTCGATACCAATTGTTTAACTAGATTGGCGGATTAAAATATTCGCAGGACGACGACCTCACTTTTTGCTAGTTTGTTTTCATACGACACAGGGGGGCGTCGTCCTGCAATGAACCGATATAACACCCTTTCTTGAAAGTAAATTGAAATGATTAACATCAGAAAATTCTGAGTCTGCTTTCAAGTTCTAAACTAAAGTATCCAAGGTGGCGTTGAGAAACCGAAGGGAATCAATAAACCTCAAATTAGCCAAGGGGAAGGAGATGTATCAATACAATCAGTGTTTCCCTTGTAAGTGCTGTCCAAATGTTTCATTATATGGTGTGAGTCTTTGAGGTTGTGGAAAATGACAGGAGTGAAGTACTCTTGTCCCTGGCAATATTTGACCTGTTTCCCGTTTGATTTTGAAAGTGAAAATTGTAGATTACAATCATCATGTGCTGCCCCTCGACACGTGCCAGTGGTATTCAGGGTCACGAACTCGGTCGGTACCTAACTCTTTCTGACACATATGGCATACTTTTGTTTCCCTGAGAAGGCATATTCATAGGCATGCATCTGGGATCAGTGGCCACAGTTACCTGATGGTTCTGATGTTGAAAAGAGGTAAGATTCAGTAGACGGCTGCTAATTTTTCTTGTTCCCTTTTATTACACGAGGAATACGGAGTTGACGAGCTCTGTAATTAAAATGGCCGATCTTTCTTCCTCAGTTTGAAGGTGTTATGTTCCTCCAGCAGGTTCCGTCTACTGTACCTGTGAAGCCAGTTTTTGCGATAGAATGCTCAATCATGCTTAGACCTATCTCCCATTAAACGACTCATTTTCTGATAAGAATGAAATGTCTCTTATCTTCCTTGCTCAGCAACAGTTATCCTACCAGTGTTTAATATGTGGACTTAGATTTATGTAAAGGAATTACCTCATCCTTCTCATCAAAACCAAATGCATTGATTGAAATATCATTTTGTTTCTCAAACGTTGACATTCGTTTGTCCCTTCATATTTGGTTCTGGTTCATACATTTGATATTTCCTAACCATTCGCATTTTGTTCTCTATCCATTTGATGTAGAGCTGCTAAGATAATAAAAAAACACATTTGGTCCTCGTTTTTTTATGTACAGTATAGCTTTCTTATTCTTCAAGTTATTAGGGAGATGAATGTAACCGATAGCTAGTTAATAACAATACCCAGTGGGGTTCATGTCTAAATAAACAGTAGAATCCAACTTTCACCCACAACACGCAACTTGAAATTCTCGTGACGCAGTGTACAATTTTTGATAAGCCTCTATTAGAGTGTTAATCTCAGCTATATTCAAGGCTAAGGAATCAGTACTTCTGAGGAAGGGTTCGGCCAAAACAGATTCGTTGATTTCATCATACTTGATTAATCTAAATTGGAATGTATGAAACCATTTCGTGCCATTTTTCAACTTCAGAAAATCCCGTAGTGTGTTCACTGTAGCTGATTCTTCATCTGCGAAAAACTGTAAAATATCTACACTATTCAAATCGTTTGGAGTGAGAGTTGTTGTTGACACGGACCCTTGGAAAGCTGACCTTTGACATCCGACCTGACTGCGACTCTGGTCGTAGGGTTCCGGTCTCCCAATGCACCGGTCACACTTGTCAACCTGTATACTGCGTATATTTCCCGTTTCCGGCCGTGTAGCAGATATGCTTCTTGTAACAGTGTCAATAGAGATCAGTGGGGTTTTCATGTCTTCGGGAGGTTCTTCTTTCCTGCTGAGACGTGACAGTGCATCAGCAACGGCATTTATGTTGCCTTCAATTATATTTGATATCAATGCCATATTTTGACATCCAAAATCTCCCCAGGGACCAAGATGCAGCAGGAAGTTCAGGTTCAACGTTGCTATAGTTTTCTTCTGCTGGGCTCAGAGAGTGTCTTGCATAGCACACAGGTCTCCCCTCTTGGCACAACACACATCCCAGCCCTTTTAGACTTGCATCTGATTGTATCACATTGGGCTTCTCGAGGTCCTAGAAGGAGAGAAACGGCGATTCTTTTATGATTCTTTTGAGTTCAATTAATGCCAGATCGTGTTCCACTTCCCACACAAATGTTACTGCCTTCTTCATCGAACGTCGAATTAGTTCTGATGATTATGTACTGCTGGTGAGAATTTGTTTAAATAACGTATCATTCCCATGAAAGATAGAAGTTCCGTCAAATTCTTTGGAGGCTCTATAGATGCAATCCACTTGATTTATTTTATCTGGTTTAACCCCACATGGAGTCCAATCGACCTTCAATTGGAACTTGTCATGGTTAAACGTTATGTTGTTTGTCCTTGCCTTGTCAAGGGGTGTTCTTGTCATGTGACACTTCATCATTGTTATGTACGAATACATCATCGGCAATTCCAGTACATCAATCAATATCACCGAACATGGGATCCATTTCCTCTTGTACACATCACCTCTTGTACAGTTCAAACCAAAGGGAATTTCCCCAAGGCATACTGAATGTGCACAATTTTCTGCTTTCTTTCGCGACCTGCCAAAAGTCACTACGAGCGTCAAGAATGCAAAAGTGTGTAGAACCACTCACTTTCGGAATGACATCATTGCATTGCTTCAAGTCTCTCGGATCAAGTCAAATGCATACTGAACCGTCAGTTCTCGTTGTTGCAACTGAATTTACCCATGGTGTGAATTCATCATCAATCTTCTTGAAGATGCTCTGTTTTGGTCAACTTTAATAGTTGGTCCTTACAGGCTGTCTGAAGATACACGGACACTTGTCTTGGTTGATGCATTACAGGTTTGATCTCTGGCTCTCGCTGTATGTGATACAGTTTTCTGAAAAAAACGTCAAATTCCTGAAAACACATACCTATATCCGCCTTGGTCAATGGCAACCGTTTCCTTTGGACATCATATAACTCGACAGTTTCACCTCCAGACAGTTTTGCTTTTGCAGTCATTATCTGTTTAACACGTTCATTTGAATCGTCTGCGTCAAAGGAACATTCAACTTAAGCAGGTGCAGTTTCTGTGCAGTTGGTGGTCCACTTGCATCTGCAACGTCAACACATAAACGCACAGGGTTTTACTTATGTGGTCCTTGTACATACACTTCACACACCGCCTAGTTGGTAATACGTTGCCCTACCATACAGTTTGTGGTGAAAATGTTTCAAATTGGTCAGTGATTGTTCAAAACGTTCTGCTGGTCTTCTGATAATCCAAAGAATAATGTATTATTAAGACTTGATTAACTGAATACAAGCTCTGTGAAGTTTAGTATACTCTATTCAAGGGTTTTATCGTGACATCTCTTTTCTCCCTAAACAAAATCTATGAATATTATTGAGAATTAGCTTAAGTTTTTTATCATCTAAATTTAATAAAAAATTCTTACTATTTCACTATCTAAACAATATATTCCCACCATTTCTTACATCAAATTCTTCTTTATGTAAGGCTTTATTTCACATTTTGTAATAACTTTTCAATACTGGAGAAAATCATGAGCATTCAAAAGAATACTAATTCAATTCAATACTAGTAATGACAAAACCCCACTCATCTGTTTTCCAAGTGATATCTTAAACCTTGCTTGAGACATTTCAATTACTTTGGGTAAATCAAAGATAGATCTGCGTTCAGGATGTAGAATCTAATATTAAATGATTATGTCTATCTTGATGACAATGCTGAAATTGAAACTCACAAGAAGAGCGTTTTTTTATATGCAGATCAGGGCGAGTTCGTTTTAAACATTGTCCTACAGATTTGAGTTGAAGACATCAATGTTACACGATGACTCAATCAGAGGGGGTGACAATTCCAGTTTAATTCAAAGTGATGACCCACTTTACTGCAATGAGTATTTTTTCTTTCATCATCCATTATTTATATTTTATGCTTTTCGGAGCTCGTTTTTAGAAACAAAATATATCTTAAATTTGTGCAGGTGCGTATTTAGTTTTCGGCATAAAGTTGTTTGATTTCGTGGGAAGTAATACATTTTCCTTTGTTAATTTTTTAAAGTTTGGTTACTGTTTTTCAGTGACATAAATAATGTGATATGTCGTGTTCCTTAGGGCACAGTATTTGGGCCCATATTGTTTACACTGTGCACTGGAAACCTCAGCACACTCATCGGCCATCAGAACATTGACCACCATAGTTATACTGATGATACTCAGCTTTCAATTAGTTTTCTAGCATCACATGCCACTGTAGAACCGAATCCAATGGATTGCTGTGTAAAACTTGTAAAGACGTGGATGGCAGATAACAAACTCAAGCTGAGTGACAGCAAAACTGAGGCTTTGTCGATTGGTGCCAAAGCCAAAAGAGCTGGGATTAGTGCTTTTCTGATTGGTGACACATCCATATCCATCAGTGATTCAGTTAAGACTCATGGGGTGTATCTGGAGCCAGGCCTCACAATGGAGAATCAATATGAAAAATATGCAAACTCCATCTGCGAATATTGGTAACTCTCGCAAGCTCTTGTCAGACGAAGCGGCGCATCTTCTTGCAAAATCTCTTGTGATTTCAAGACCAGATTTTTGCAACAGTTTGTTCAGCAACAGCACAAAATACCTCTCTAGACAACAATCTTTTCAGGACCTGGCAGCCAGGGTTACAACCCGTACCAGAAAACATGCACACATCACACAAGTGCTTACGTCACTACACTTGCTACCTGTCAGTGCAAGGAGTAACATCCTGTCCGTGTAGCGCTAAGAGCATTCACTGAGTGTATGGAATTTAGCGACACAGAAATGTACTTCGACACATTCTCTCGTCATATCTACATTGCTTGTACTTCCTGTTTCAGATTATGTCTGAGAAAATCGAAGTCGTCTTGAAGAATTGTACTCAGCATGGTGAGGGCCCCCACTGGGACGACACTACACAGTGCCTGTACTACGTGGACTATTTCGTTGATGTCGCCCACAGATACAACCCAGCAACAGGTCAAGACAGCCGACTAAACCTTGGAGGTGAGTCAAAATGCAAGCTCTTTTTATAATTATCTCTCCTGTTGCGTGTATGTCAGCTCGTGTGCACAACGTGTGTTGGTTTAACCCAACACTCAGCAATATTCCGGCTATCTGACTGTGGTCTCGACTGCACAATCCAGTGATTGATGGTGGAGGGGTGGTGGGGTTAAAGTGTCCACTCGTCACACCGAAGGATTCGAAGGCCCATTTCTGGTACCATATGCCGTGACATTGCTGGAATATTGCCGCAAGCAGCGTAAAACCATACTCCCTCACTCACTATGAGTTTGTGATCAAATACTCCAAACCGTTTCAAAATATACTTATGGAACAAAATACGAAATATTGCAGAATAATGTATGTATTGTGTTAAGAAATGTCAACAAAATAACTTTAATTTTCTTCATTGCCAAACAATCTGCGGGTGTAAAACATGAGCTTCCCTTTAAGTCGCTCCTTAAGTCCTTTCATGTTTGAAATGTCATGTCATCATGTTTCATGTGTGGAGACTCTCTGGTGAGCGTCATCATCCCCCGCAAGAAGGGAGGCTTTGTGGTGAGTCAGAAGACAGACCTCGGCTTCGTGGACTCATGGGAGAGTGGCAAGGTCACCAGCATTGCGAAGGTCGAGGACGACGCCAATATGTTAAATGACGGCAAAGTGGATGCTTCCGGTAGACTCTGGATTGGTACGTTTTGAGTGAGTGAGTGAGTGAGTGAGTGAGTGAGTGAGTTTACTTGGACTATTGTGAAGACAAGTCCCCGCTTACACAGGTAACGAAATCTTTCTGCGTTTTATCCCCTTGGCATATAATTGGGGGGATATAGTCGTTGCCCTGTCTGGCTGTCCGTAAATCATTTCGTTTCCGGAGCACAATATGAAAACCGTGAAAGGCTTTTCATTCCAACCTGGTACAGGTATTAACCAAGGGCTGAAGTGGTGTCTTTTGTTATTTACGGATCTTTGACATTTTCTTTCTCGATTTCCTTGGAAACATTTTGTACTTAATCTCTAAAAGGGTGGATTTCGTTTCCGGAACACAACATATAAACGTTTAATAGCTCTCAACATAACTTGGCAGATATATCAAACAGATCCTGAAGTGGTGGCTTTTGCTATTTGTGGCAACACGTTTGACTTTGACTCATAGTGTTCATAGTGATGTGTTTGTCCGGACCATATCTCTAAAGCTAATGGGTACTTTTGGTGGACACTTTTTGACCAGGTTCTCAACTAGTGCATATTGCTATTTATATTTTTCATTTACATTACAACAGGTTTGAAATAGAAAAAAAAAAATTTCGAATAACTACTTGCTGGTTTCAACACCTGGGTCTTTGTTCAATGGCATCGGCATCGGCCAAAGCAAATGGCTGCAGGGTCAGGGCTCATTGTACAGCCTGGAGGGTCATGGGGGCGCCAAAAAGCACGTCAGTCGTTTTACACCACACTCATCAATATTTCAGCTATATGACAGCGGTCTGTAAATAATCGCGTCTGATCAGACAATCCAGTGATTGACATTATGAGCATCGATCCACGCAATTCGGATACGATGACATGCATCAAACAAGTCAGCGAGCCTGACCACCCGTTGGTCGCCTCTTACGACAAGCATTGTCACCTTTCACGACAAGCATGGGTTGTTGAAGACCTATTCTCCACCCTAATCTTCACAGGTCTGATATTATATGTAAGAATAACTACCTGATAGTTTGCACACAGGGTCTTGTTTCTGTGGCAAGGATATTCCTGACCTCAACACGTGGCCGAAGCTTCAGGGCTCATTGTACAGCCTGGATAGTGATGGCAGCGTCACAAAACACATCAGTAACATCAGCATTGGCAACGGCATGGACTGGAATGAAGATAACAGCATCATGTACTTCGTCGACTCCATCCCCAGGCAGGTCTGGGCCTTCGACTTTGACATCACAGCTGGGGCCATCAGTAAGTAAACTCTGGCACTCCCAGCAACCAGGGCACACGTTGGTCTTGTGTGTTGTTCAGTGTCCCAATGATGCAGCTGCATGTAAATTCTACCTTCACCTGTTACAGACACTGAAGTCACTTATCAAAACCACCCAGTCCACCTCAACTCCAAAGGTCCCAGGGCCCGTTCCACAAACGGTCGTAGTGCCATGAGTGAAAGTGTGAATGACTTCTGTACATGTTTGCCTTTTCAAACTAAAACATCTGTATCGCTATCAAATATTGTGCGATATCCCTCTGGAGTTAATCTTACCACTTAAAAATGTTTAAATTACACTTTTAGAACACTTTGCTACATTTACTATATCTCAAAATCAATTCTGGATTCTGCAGTTCCCTGGCTGCCGGGTTATTTTTTTATCAGGAGATACAGCGGTAGTATAGGAACTGAACACAACATTTATCGTAGTGTTGTACAAACCTTTTGTGGTGGGATCTGTGATTTCTTACCCTGTTCGCGAACACCTGGTGTCAGCACTCGTTTTCAGCCGTCCATTCATAGTTGTCAGAGCTAATGTGCCCTTCACACCAAATATTAATGTTTTCGCGGATATAAAAGACAAGTTATTCATTGGATTGACAGTTTTTATTACATTTACAACATCACTAGTCCAATGCTTAACGATGCATTGCGCAGGTAGCGGAACAAGCCGAATGCTATCCAGGGTTCAGTTAAACCTCCACTTTACCCTGATTCTAATCGGGATGTTTGATGGATACAGGTATGGTCTTAATGTTCCGAGGGTCAGGACAAACACCTTTCTAATAAGCTGCTGTTTGTTTTCAGGCAACAAGAGAATTGTGACCGATTTCAGCAGATTTTCTGATATCCCAGATGTGGCTATCCCGGACGGAATGGCCATTGATACGGAAGGAAAATTATGGGTTGCCGCTTATGAGGGTGGGAAAGTTCTCCGAATCGACCCAACGACTGGTAAGTGAGTGCGAGGGACACATAGAGCATTTGTAGAAGGAAGCATGTCAATCCAGCGTCGCATCCAAGATTATTGAACTTGTATAGCGACGTGCATGCACATGTGTGTGGCTACTTGTACTAGTCCGGACTGATGCCGATTTTATAGTGCTAGCCCAATGAGATACCATGCCGCAGTTTAACATGAATACCCCACTCAGACACAGTATACTGACTCCAAGGCGACCAGTCCTTGTTTTAGCCCCTAAATGCGGAGCGCCAGACAGGGTAACAACAAGTACCATATTTTACCATCTTTTGGTATGACGCGGCCGGGGATCAAACCCCGAACCTTCCGCACTCCAAGCGGACGCTCTACCACTAGTACACGAAGGCGGTCCTGTATATCTGGAAAATGTATGCATTTTCAATTATCACATTTTGATTTTGTTGTTGTTGTTATTTAACGCCGCACTCAGCAATATTCCAGCTATATGGCCGTCTGTAAATAAGTTTGGACCAGACAATCCAATGATTAACACCATGAGCATCGATCAACGCAATTGGGATACGATGACATGCATCAACAAGTTCTGACATGGTTCATATGTGGCACAGTCAAACACTGTCAAACACAGTCAAACACTGTCAAACACAGTCAAACACTGTCAAACACTGTCATCCTCGTGAATATCGGCCGCAGCAATTTATGATAATCTAAAGAGGCGACTAAAGGGTTCGGGTCATAGTATCGCAAATGCGTAGATCGATGTTCATGATGTCAATCACTGGACTGCCTGATCCAGACTCGATTATTTTCAGAGGGCCCTCTTGCTGAGTACTCTATACAGTCATACACACATTACAATAGAAAGTACATGGGTGGCCCAGTCGTCTAAGGTGCCGCGATTCGCTGTGCTGTGTTGCGTCCCTTGGGCACGCCAGAAACCTATGATTGTGGGTTCGAATCCCGGTTCGCCCTGATTATGTTTCTACGTTTGTCAGCACCATACCCGTGCTCGTGGGTTTCACCAAAGTGGTAAACGTCTGAGTCCTGCATCACTTCGGGCTTTCCTCCCACATTAAGCTGACACGCTGTGATAAAACTGCAATACTGTTAAAAGGGGTGTTAAACCGAACTCACTCACTCACTAGTTCCTTGTAATGGATTGATGTTTTGTCTGTCCAGGAAACGTGATCCGTACTGTCAAATTCCCTTGTGCAAAGATAACGTCGCTTTGTTTCGGAGGAAAGGACTTCACCGACCTCTACGTCACGTCATCGTCTCTCACGTTGACCCCAGCAGGACTGTCGAAAACACCATTGGATGGCTCGCTCTTCAAGGTCACTGGGTTGGGAGTCCGAGGTTACAAAGCTAACATGTTCTCTGGATAAACGTCTCTCAGTTCAATGCGTTTTTGAGAACACACGGATTCCGGATTAGCAATTTTAATTTTGCTTCCGTTTTATGACCACTTCTCCTACTTTGATAAATACCCTCCTAAAAAACTGTGTTGGTGCAAGCAGTCTGATCTTCTTTGTAATCTTATTGTAGAATATGCTACGAGTATCAGGTCATCTGCAAAAACATAATTGAGTATAATGTTATACATTTCCTCTGATACCAATCATTGATTTATTTAAGTATTAAGGCCTGAATACAATGAAAGTATTTTGAACATGTCTGCAACAGAAATATTTACAATGATGAAGATCAGAGAGTGAAACAGATGGCAAATTTTATGAAATTTACTAGATATTTTAGAACGCCTACGTCAGAGCACCTCATCATTGTTATCACACTATTATCATAAGTATGAACATTGAAAAATGTGATTTGCTTCGAACGATTTCGATCCCGGGCATGTCAATACAAAATGAATGTCATTTACAATTACAGATACTTGTACATTTCATCTATCACATAAATACCATCAACAAACGTCTGTGCAAAATGTGTCACTAGATCTTTGATGAGCAGTGAAAAAGGAATTGGGCTTAAAGTACAACCTTCGCGTAGACCTACTTCAGAAATATTTAGACAGTTTAAATCCATAATGAAGTGCAACCACGGATTTAACTTACTCATGCACAAAAAGGGAATAAAACTTTTTTTAATGGCACAGTAAAATTCCCATGGTCTTCTTGTATGTTTTATAACCAGAGCTTGTAAAATATAAATACTATGAATTATGTAGTGATTCTTTCTAATAAACTCATTGATATTCCACAAAAGGGTGTCCAGTCTATTATTGTGGTGGTACGAACCTTTTAACCTTCTAGCGCCTCACAGGCAGCTTAAGTTGTATACTCCCCAGGGAGCTCAGAATGAAAATCGAGTGCTCACTGATCCATAGACCGGGATAATAATGGTGTGGCACTATGATCATCCACTTGGTGAATGGAATCTGGCTCATTATAAATGCACTTGGAAATTATTATCATCATCATCATTATTATTATTATTATTATTATTATTATTTTATGTGTTGTATCAAATAACAAGACACCCCTTTAAGTATTGGGATCCCCTGTGGTGGTAGTTAATTCAAAAGCCCCGGTTACATGCTGAGAAAGTATAGTGTAAGGAAGACTTGTAAATGTTTTAAGATGGCCACGTGTGATGATAGCATAAGCATTAATAATTGGTGGATTATGGGATATTTCTTAAATTTTAATGTAATGTAAAACAAATGTGTCAACTTATTATATACCTTATTATGACAGTTCACAGATATTACAGAATTTCGCTTCTCCGACATACTTGCCAATTTCTATTCGTAGTTTATGGCAACCCGAACTAAGCTGAACAAGAGCATGTCTATGTTTCAAATAGTGGGCTCACTAATCCCCCGATTTCGACTGCAACATATTTCTTCGTTCAAAACATGAAAAAAGCAATATTGTCTCAGAAATCCACTTTTTGAAATCAAACTTTGCTCTGCACATGCCAGTCTTGATACCATCTGTTCTTGCCAAACAAATACAAATTCATTGACCTGTTATGTACGCCTAATCCTAGATGCCCACCTTCTACAACCATTACCTCCAATTTTACAAGCATAAAATATTTTTTTGGACGCTCAATTTACTTTTGAATATTTTACACCAATATTCCATAGACCTTTCCAATATGCAACGGATATCTGCCACATCCGCCTCGCACAACATGTGCTGACACGTAAGACAAGCTGCTAAATGAACAACTTTAATTTCCCTAACAACATTCAGTTCCCACATTTCTGCAACGTATAATAAATTACAACAAACTTTGGTGTAAATATTCTTTAAGAAGATATCAAAAGGTAACGACTTAAACATTGTCAGTGGTCTAATATATACCAAATAATTATAGTTTAGCCTGCAAACAAACATTTCCTATGTGATAGGTCCATACTAATGACCTACTGAATACAATATCTAGATATCTATACCAGGAATTACATTCAATTGTAGGCCATTACAGAACCATTTTTTCATATTTCGACAATCTTCCATCATTTGTAAAAACTATTACCTTTGAGGTTGTTTCACATATATCGTCAAACAATTCCCCAAACAAAAGTATTTCAGGACATCAACGTTCTTCTGTAAACTAAAAAGTGTATCAGAGATAAACACAACATCATCAGCAAAAACAGAAGAAACAGCTGTACTGGTTCAGGATGAAGCTGATTCCTGATACGCCACATGTCATAAGATAAGTAATTGATAAAAATGGATAATAGAGGGCCTTGTCGTTAACCCAGCAGACAGTCAATACATGTTGAAAACATATTATTAAATTTGACACATGCTTTAACACTTGTATTGAGAGTTTGGCTTGAGTTTAACATTTTACTTCCTACCCCTTAGCTTAAAAATGTACCACAATTTTCCCTATTAAGTCAAAAGCGTTTTAAAAAGTCTATATACATTCAAACAATTTACCTCTTTTTAAACCATAGCGCTAATTGACAGAGTGCAGGATAAAAACCCACTTGCGATTCAACACAGCAAGAACACCAAAATGTTAGTCTCTTATTCAGAATGTGTATTTACAACTTGCTAAAAAAATACTTGTCATTGATATACCTCTGTAATTTTTAGCTACACTGGTATCCCCTTGCTTATATAAAGGTACAATTAGGTCCATGTACCACGATTTGGGAAAATATGATCGATCAAACAGAACATTAAATAACAACTGAATAACGTTAACTAAAATATCCCGTGAGAACCTTAAACAATCTGCTATGATATGATCAGGTCCAGAATTCTTAGATGTTTTAGTTCTGTAATTGCTGTAGAAACCTCCTCTCTTGTTACAGGAGACTCAAGTATAACTAGGCTTGATATCATGGTCAAAAGAATGAAATCTGCCATTATATGTATTGGTATGCTGGAACATATATCTGAAGTGTGTATACCACGAGTCCATTGCTATGTGGGCAATAGCGTTGCTAGATGAAAAATGCCTGCAGATTGTGCTCCACAATAATCATGAGTTACTCAGATTTGTAAATAATTTATCATTTATAGATTCGTAGTAATTTCTTGTTTCAGGTTTTACAGTGCTGTACTTGTTTCTGACATGCAAATATTTTCGTAGCGATGATTCATCATTAAAATGCATAAATTCCCAAATCTGCACTTCCCTTATCTTAGAAATGTGCACTTTTTATCAAACCAGGGTTGTGAATTTCGTCTATTTAAACTGCATTTACGTTTCATGCACTATGCGGCTTGACATCTTGCATTTGTAAGAGATGTTACTGCATTATCAATATAAGAAAGAACTTTGTCACAAAAGCTTTAAAGCAATCTAGATATATCAGGTGAAAGTAGATTCTCCCTGAGTTCACCGACCTTGTCCCTGTCCTACTTAACTCTGAGGCCATTACCCTCGGCACGTGTTTACCTTGCTTCGTGACCATCCTCACAGGGAGTAGCGTGAATGTCCGGTGACTGAACCCTACATCGTACATGTAAACAATCACACTATGGCGGCATCGAACTCATGAAACAGTTTGAACAAAGAGCGTGAAGTAATAATGTAATTAATGGCACCTGTACCCACTGCTGAGACAAATGTAAAGACCCGCACCCGCATCTGAAACATATATCCATGTGATGGTACTGAGATTAAAGTAAATACAAAGCTACAGCAATGAACGCCAACATCTGTTTGTCATCATGTCGTGATGTATAACGGGTATCATGTATATATGAGCAATGGCCCAAACCAACGTGACTTGAAATATCATGAAAAATGTAATCAAACTCTGTACCGGCTCTGGCATCAAAATCCCCACCAGTGGTATATTTAAGTAGTATAGGTAATGGGGATTCTGGCTCACTTCCACTGGAGCCAGATTTATATACCTATACTGCTACTACAGAGGGAATCTTTTATGTGAAAATGATGATGTGATTCAATGATCGTCTTTAGATTAAGCTAAATTGACTCTAGCTCACCACCACCTGGAGCCAATCAATGCTTCTATGATATAATTTTTTATAAGTAATGACAGTTCTGCCGCAACTCAATTGGATTCAGATTTAAATACCTATAATGCTACTACAGAGGGAATTTTCTAAACAAAAATGATGATGCGATTCAACGATCGTCATGATACTAAACTAAATTGTAATAAAAATATTCTCTATTATTTTTACTCATACGCATACCATTATTTTGAAGAAAGTGATATTCAACATTTTTTACTAAGTTCTTCGTTCATTTTACAAGGAGACTTCCTCGGGGTACTTATCTTCAATAGAAGTGTGATAGTGCCATGTCTCAGTGAGTCCTGCAATGTGATGATTTGCTGGAAGGGACTCGTGTACGAAAACTGTATCGCACAACTTAGAACACAGTCCATAAATATCGCAATACAGGGCTATAATACAAGACTTTGATTTGGCGGAACAACGCCCCTATCTGTTATTATTCGGGCCATCCTCCATATTACGATGACCTTGTAGTCAAAGCGTATGTACCTGTGAAGATCCGGGGTACAATAGGTCTTCAGCAACCCATGCTTGACGAAAAAGGCGACTATGCTTTTCGTAAGAAGCGACTAACGGGATCGGGTGGTCAGGCTCGCTGACTTGGTTGTTGCATATTATCATATCCCAATTGCGTGGATCGATGCTCATGATGTCAATCACTGGATTGTCTGATCAGACTTGATTATTTACAGACCGCCGTCATACAGCTGAAATATTGATAAGTGCAGTGTTAAACAAAAAACAAACAAACAAACAAGGCGTATGTTGGTACCAGTCTGTCTGTCAGACTATCTGGCCGGCTAGCAGACGATTCGTCAGCGTCTTTGACGATGAGCTCGCAGTCCTTATAATAACCCATTTCTTTCAGTTTCTGTAAAGTTTCTCTTTGTTTCATTGTAAGGTCGTTAGAAATGCCATACCCAATGCTTTTCAGGTAATGTCTCAGGCTGACCGCCTGTGACTTATCTTTTGGACATATACACTTCACTATCATTTGTCTGGCTGATGTTTATCCTGTAGAGCCCAGGCGATGTGCTGCTATAACAGCATCAGATGTGAGTGGTGGGTCCTCTTCCCCGGCTGTGTCGTTGAGTATATCGCAGACATACTTCTTACATATAAGGAGAGCCTCCTTCTCTGACATACCGTAGAATATCATGTTATATCTACTGCATTACTGCTCCTGTCTATCGAGTTCATGAGTAAGTGTGTTAATCTGTTGTAGTAAGTCTGATTAGTTCTCAGTCCTGCGCCATTATATATATGTAGGTGGGTTTTTTCTTACTGAAGGCCTTGGCAAGTCTACACCAGACTAAACCAAGTCTAGTTTCCTTGATTCCACACTATGAAAACAGCAGAAGAGGAAAGGTTCTTTTGAAGAAAAAAACTTACAAGTATTTTAAAGAAATGTTTTCATTGATTCCACTCAGGTAAATTTTCTTGGCGATATAGGCGGTTGGCTACTTCAAGAATGTCACACTGTTTTGTATCCTGTTGATGTTGAATATTTTTCATGTTCCTTTGCAATTCACCACTTTGTCTCCATCTTTAGTTCATCTACTTCTTTCTTCAAGTTTGTGTTAAATGATTTTAATTCTGATTTAATATTAGCTTTTGAATATATATGTCTCTTTCTTCACCTGCTGTCCCTGTGTTAGGTGCAACATCTCCACATAATGCAACGTCGCTGGTTTGCAAGGTAAGAGCATAGCACCCCTGTATACTTAGCATTTAAACAATAGAGATTAAACAGATAGA